TGGCTGCCATTCCACCGGAAATGACACGAAGAACTATGGACAACTTCCGGGAAAGGCTTCGTCAATGTGTGAACAATGGAGGACGCCATTTACCGAAAATAATTTTTAAAACCAAGTAATGTAAAATAGCATCGTATTTGTTGTTCACAAATAAAAGTATTTTTTTCTGTATCTTTCTTTGTTTGTTTGTAACTGCCTTTTGAAATACGGGAGGTCGATTTGCCAGACCCTGTACTTGCACATTGAGTCATGTACTCAGAAAGGTGGTTGGAGATGTAACTCTTGTGACTTGTACTTGGGAGGTACCCACTTCAGACCTTGGTCAGGACAGTGGCTCTTCTGATTGAGATTTGTAACAGTTTTCCTAAGCCTCTTGAAGCAATACTGGGCTGCCCCGGCCCCAGCCGCTTTACCTCCAGTTAAACAGTCCCAGATACCCATTGGATACGAATTTGGATACACTCCAGGTCTGAATAAAATTCAAGTGTCGTAATAAAAAGTGTTTAAAGTGACATGTGTTTGTGTGTTGAGCAGGGAAGTATTTCCTAGACTTTGATATCCCTGTGGAGTTGGCACATCTGTGGCGCTACATGTACCATATGTACCAGCTGGATGCTTTTACCCAGAGCTGCCCAGCTGACCAGGACATCATCAACCATTACAAGCTGCAGCAGGTGGGGGTCAGTACTCCAGCCACTAACAATACTAATTAATGTCAGATTGCTTCTCTTGCCATTAATTCATGTACAGTAAAATTTCATTAACCCTACAGCAGCTATTCCAAAGAGCATACCAGGTGCCTCTCTCCATCTGAGTCTCAGTATCTGCTTAACACTTGAGCTGAAGCATAATACTTGTTTCAGTAAGAACTGACAGGGAAGATGTGGTGGAGTCTGAAGATTCATGGTGTGGTCTTCATGACTATGGCACTGTGGTATGATGTTACAGAAATACCGCGTATCAAACGACACAATATTTTAACCCAGAAGACCACAGTGTGAAGAAAGACCTATTTCCATGAACTGTCATTATGCTTCATTGTTTGGAACTACTATTTTTTTTACTTTTTCCATTGTCCAAGTTTATTAAATACCTCTCCATTGAAATTGATTTTATATCCAGCTTTACGTGAACAGGATACAGAAAGAAAACATAAGGAAAACTGAGCCATAGATGAGTAGCTCTGTCTAGGGACCTAACAGTAGGGTTTCTTTTGTATCCTGTTTATGTGATGACAGAAATAGAACCAATTTACAAAATTCAGTAGTTTTTTAATAAACTTGAATGATAGGAAAGCTTCCCCTCCTTGGTGTCTCCACCTTATCGTGGTGAGGGGGTTTGAGTATGCCAAGGACCCTGAGAGCTATACCAGCGGTAGCGTAGCTACTGGCAGGGCCTCCCTTGCTGGACAGATCAAAGGGTAGGCATCAGACGAAGAGAGACACCAAAAACCAAAAACTGATGCCGGAAGCAGCGTCATCAGCAGCGACTTGAAGCACAGAACAAATGATGCTCGAGATGGTTCAAGTTCGTATAGCAACAGGCGTGACCAGAGTGGTTTGAACGGCTGTTGTACTGCGATGTGGAAAGCAAATGGAAAAACTACCACATTGTCACTTTTCCTGGATAGTCTCTTTCCAAAAACAGAAGATCGCATCAAGTGGAGAAACTGTTTTGGAAGAGACTGTGGACCTGTCGTCTGACAGATTACTGATGATGATGATGATAGGAAAGGTCTACAATTAACAGTTTAAACAGTGTGGCCCACCAGCATCAGAGGTATTAAATTTACTTTATTTTTCTCATGCTGTGGCTTACTGAAGTTGTATGTATTTTAGCTCTTATTAAAAACTCTGCTTGATGCCTGCTTCATTCTAGTTTCTTGCTTCGCTTTATTCTTCAGTCCTGAAGATGGAAGTAACATGTTCCTCCAAATTGTCTGTTGACTTTAAGTGGACTGCACAGTGTTATATTCTAGAAGACGGAACTCTTTAAATTATTTGAATTTTAATGTTTTCTTATTTATATGTATCTGGTAAATTATCGAAAGAATTGAAATATACAAATATGAATTACTCCGTCCAATGTGACCTGTAAGTTTATTACTACATGAAAACTTAACACCCTTACAAGTTTCGGTCTCAGCGGACCATCTTCAGAGGGCAAACATCACTACAAATAGGAAACCACCTTCACATAAGTTGTTTAGATGTAAAGTACGTACACTTATATGTTACAATGCATAGTACACAAAATAGAACATTTCACAAACACAGCTGTTTCCTGGGAATGTAAGTTTTTAAAAATTATTTAAAATTTCTTGATGCTAATTAAAAATTTTTACATTGTCAGTAATTAAAATTCATAAACCATGCAGGCTTGTGTTCATCCTCCCATCGTCCCTCTTGTATGGGGCAGATATTGTGCCACCAGTCTATCTTGATGTGGAGGTTCTTTATATCTCCCAGGGTTTGCTCGTGGCTGCTGTGCTGTTTTCAGCACAGAATTTCAGAATTGAAATATGTTGATTTAAAGAGTAGTTTTGTCAGACACTGGTATTTTTCAGTATTGGATGGACAGTCATTTGGCATTTTCACAGCCACATGCTTATACAAATTGCATGCCAGTACTTACTTGCCATTGTACTGAATTGGCGTAGAATTATGTGTGCTGGTAGGCCTTTATAAACACGGTGAAATTTACGGTTCCCTAAAAGGGGTGAATTTCATGGCCGTCTGAGTAATTATGAGCTTCTCAAGAAATGTGCCTCGCCATGAAGTTAATACCTTCTGCTGTTGAGACAGCCTCTATTTTCAATTAATGTTCTTGTGTAGAGTTGGTGTTATTGCCTCAGCTTATAATTAAACATGTACAGTAATTTGTCCAGAGAAATGTGTTTGATGGGAATGTCATATTTTTAATAATTTTTTGCTGTGCATGAACTTGAGAATCTTTTTTAATCTTACAGGGAATGAAAATGAAGAAACATGAAGAGCTGGAGACACCAACATTCACCACATCAATTCCAGTATCTATTGCAACTGAAGACTAAATCCAGTCTATTGATTTAGCCTTTCCATTTGCATCGCGCCACTGTCATATTGGAAGTATACAATGCCAGCTCTTTGTAACTGTTGATATGCTGTGCGATTGATTGATCAGTGCGAAACGTGCGGAAGTCCTTTCTTACAGGTAGATTCATGGACCTCAGAATGACACATACATAACATAATAAAATTATGTTGGAAAGGAAATTAAATCATAGACTGAGAATGACAACATCTCTACCAGCAAGAAAAAGATTATTTCAGAACCATGCATCTTTTATGTAAGAGGTCTTACTTTATGCTTCCTCGTGCATTTGTTTGAATTTGACTGCCACAGAGAAGAAAACCGTGCCATGCCTTCATCTTGAGATGAGTGGTTTTGAAATCATCGTATAAAAATTGAATAATTTTGTAAAGAGGAAAGAAAGAGTAGTTGTTAGCCAACAAAGACTTCTAAAACCTAAATTGATTTTGTAAGAGGGGATGTGTGTGCAAAATGAGATTGTTGGAAAGCTTTGTTGAACATGTTCATTACTTGTTTTCTCTATGGACCATAGCATATCATTCTAAATCTTGATTCATGACCCATAAGCACAGGCTTGCTCATAATGTGTCAAGATTTAGAAGTGACAGTCCAGTTGATGTCAATTAACTGTTGCATTTAGCTTAATGAGAGAGAGTGATTTATTGAGATGACTGGAGCTTTATGTTGAACTGTTAATGACTAACTATTAGTACTTAGTTCCACAAGAAAGGAACATGCTGTGTTACAGGTAATGGCCATATTGAAAATTGCAGTAATTTCAATGGCTGTTCACCTCATTGTTTCAAGAGAGGCTGTTCTCAGAGAGAAACCTAGTTAATTGTAATTTGGGATTCTGTACATGCCAGGTACCACTTCATTTCTCTTGTCTCGGAAGGATATTCAACTGGAGGATAAACATCCATGTATGCTTCTGTACCGTGTGTCTGTTTTCAGAAATGTTATTGCCACATATATAGTTTGTAAGGTAATCCGTTATTTCAGACAGGTGTTTAAATATTGTTCAAATAAGAATTGTGTGTTAAGTTTCTGAGGTGTTTCTGGCAGTAATTGTACCGAGAGTGGTCTTGATTATGACACCATGTTGTCATGTGATTGGATACCAGCATGTTTGTCCAAGACACAGGTGTTGCATCCCAGAAGACCTCTATGCAGGATGTGACTTCTGTCTCATCTGTTGGAATGCACTTCTGTGACAAAATTTGATTGCTGTTAACCTTTAAAGTCTGGATTTTTAAATTGTCGAGAGCCGGCTGCAGCCAGAATTTAAATGACCCTGAGTCTTTAAAGTTGCAGACTTTCAGAAGAAACTACATATTTTCCATTCTATGCAATATAGAAATACAAACTAAAAACAGCCTGAAAAACAATACAATTTTCTACATATACATGAAAGAGCAATTTTTACAAATGAAAATGTACTGTAATTATTTTGTCATGAAATGCAAAATATCATCTTTATTATATATATTGTCACGTGTTGGGTGTATAACGCGACAAATAATTTCACGCCGTATTTGATATAGCGAATTTTATTTGACATTTGCTCTTACAATCACACAATTAACAATCTGACAATTACTGCCATCGGCAGTATCACAAATACTACACTGCAAATGCTGGTTGACCACCTGGCTGACTCGTAACTCAAGAACCGCTGCCTTGAGAACTAACTTCGGCAGCTGGTACACTTTAACTGACTCCAGCGGCTGTGTATTTCCCTTTTATAGTCGCAGCGCTTGCCTGTTACCTAATTGGTACCTCTGTTGCCTCATGCCATGTTACGTCACCACGCGTTGCGTGCCTCGTCACAATAGGAAGCGGTGCCACGTAGCCCAGCGGGGGCTACGTCACCGTGGCCAGAGCTGCCACATCACTGCTGGGGGAGGGAGGGTTTGTCCTCCATTGCACAACATGTCACACTGCTCCCTTCTTAAGGCTGTTCGTCCCGAATGTGAAATTCCAAAGGACTTACCCATAGTTTTTTTCTCGAAACTTTGGACATGTTTATTTTGTAAAAAATAATCACATTATATACAGTAATCCTTTTTACAGACTGTACATGAGTATGAACTGCGTCACTTCACAGTTTATGATAACTCCATTCAGTGCTCACGCTCTGACGCACATGCGCCACTGATCGAAGCGATCATTGACACACAGACCAACATCACACTTTTTACAATAGAAGAGGATGCTCCTGGTTTTCTTATTTAGCGAACACATGTGACATCTTTGTTTCCTTTTGGAAGACCAGTGTTGCAAATATTTCACCTCTAGTCGACTCAGTTTGGCCCCAAATGAACTTGGCCTTCCCCTAGAAATGGCACTGACCATGATATCCGCCTCATGAGAGTGTACAATGAAATCTCGCACTAGGATTTTGCAGAATTTTTTGTGTGTCATTTTTTCCACCGCATGACTTGTGCAATAAATTGGCCTTTAGAATAGTCATGTGTAGAAGGTGAAGAAACAATTTCCTTGCCGATTTCCATGTCCTTTGGGCAATTCCATAACTACCATCCTGTCAGATTTATCCACAAAGCCCATATGTACACTGTTGTCTTCAAAGGATTTATACCTCTACCGAGACACAAAATAAATGTTTTATAGATAAATAATTGACAGTCTGACACTGACTATCTGACTGATAATTCTCTGCTGAAAACAATTCCTTCAAAACACCCACTTACTTGCAAGCTCAGGTAGCGCTAATCTGCATACTCAGATGAATATTTACTTCTCAGTTCGCAAAACAAAGCTGTGCTCTATTTGGCTGCCCCAGTCATTAACAGTCATATCTAAATGTAAATAATATCGAAACCAGTACCCTGATAAATGATCATTGTTCAGAGCTAACAAATGAACCAGTGACTTGACCTTGCATGGGTTTGTTGTTGTTTCAACCAAGATCAAACTGTCAGCACTCCCGAGCGCACTGCACTGCGTTAGATATATCTAACATTGTATGTTAAAAGTTAACAGTACTGAAAGAGGGTCACTTTTGATGTGATACTCAGACCATAATTTAAAAATGAGTTTGAAAATTTCTCATTCATTAGTAACTGTCTGTTGTGTAGGTGAGTGATCGTTGCTTTCATTGTATGAATAAAGTGCAATGGTGACTGATCATAGTGGAGATACTGTGGGCCCAGTAGTGAGCAGAACAGTGTAAATGTTGCAGTACTTCATATTTCCTTGATTACACATTCTTAAAGTGATGCATTTTATTTTGAGAGTACTTTGTATACCCAAATGTGGTATGCTAGAAGGAGCTACTAATTATGTTAGTTTTATCAAATAATAATTCATCAGGACTTATCTCTTACTAAATATAATACCCATTGTGATCAGTGATGATTTATGGAGCATCATATTAGTTTTATTAGCTTTATGGGTATTCAGCTTCGATCCTTTGTTTATTTAAATGGTTCAGTAGAGGTTGATTACTGAAGTCAGAGCAATAAAATTGTTTTATATGTTATTGGTTTGAATTTATAGTGTTCCCAGAACATGAATTATTCAGTTCAAAAATATCTTAAATCTGATTCTTATACTTAACTGTGGGTATTCTTTTGGTAAATATAATAGCCATTTGAGGGAAGGAGGAGAAAGTCCTACAGCGTCTCTGTGATATCCTTCATGAACATTGTCTGTCAGTTTTGGCTTTACATTTGAAACGGTACTTATTTATCACAACTTTATTGTTTTTGGCATATCAGAAATCAAAATATATAGTGGAATTTAAAATTGAACTTGCAGCCTATAGTTCTAACAAGATAAATTGTTATATTTCTTTGTTCTGTTACCCTTAAATTTGACAGATTCTAAGTATGGAATGTTGTAAATATGAGTTGTTTAAAATGAAATTGTATAATTCAATAAATATTTTTTCTAGTGTTGCACAGATGATATGGTACTTGGCATGTTAAGATATATGTAGGAAATTCTCTGAATATCTCTGATGTAAATCAAACAGCCAATACACCAATTTCATTGCCTTCCATGTTATTTGTAATATTTAAAGTTAAATCAAACTTAAATGTTAAAATTTACTTTCCTGTCCTGTCCAATGTAGGCTGTGATTGAAGTGGCTTGCATTAATCTTTGTGTATATCCAAAGCTTTCCAAGATTATATAAACAAAATCCTTACCTTTGCAGAATTTAGTGGAATTCTGTCATTGTTTCATTTCATTTCCTAGTACAGTATTTTTTTTGTCTTAAAAAATCAGACTTCTTCAGGAGATGGTTCTTCAAGTGACTTGTCCCACAAAAATTGAGAGAAAGTGTCATGGGACAGCAGAAATGCCATTCACTTGTATTACTATTTCTTGTTCTGTGTACTTGATAATATTGGTATTGATAGTAATAATGATAATAATAATAATAATTAACTAAAACTAGATATTTTGTTTGGCTGTTATGTTCTTCATTGTCCAGCATCCTTGTCCTTTGTTAGAAACTGACAAACAAGAGAAAAGGTATCTCTATAGCAGTGTGATGGATGTAGTTAAAGTTTGCTGTTTTAAGAATATCGAAATTTCATGAAGCACTGTATATCATCTGCCTCCTCTATAAGCCATGCAATAGTATATTAGCTGAAAGAATTTCTGCAGAGTATTGTTTGTCTTCATTCTGAATATAAATAGAAACTTTGATGATGTTTCTAAAGCTCTAAATCCACATATTCTAGAGTACTATAATTCTAAGGGATGGCTAGTTACTGGTGCATTACCCCAACAATGGCACTTTCCCTCTATTCAAGATGAGGAGGTGCTATTGTAACGTAGATGTATTTGAAACTACACGTTATTGATGTAAAGAACAGCATTCATATAGGCAAAGAAACAGAAGGGAAAAGTATGCTGTTTCACTTAATGTTTAAAACAAAGTTCCTGATTCATATCTTGACTGATGTTGATGACTGACATTTTTTTTTCCTTTCCACAAGACAAACGCAGATTCAGAGTTTCTTTATTATTCAAGCCGTGTCATCGGTTGCAGTATGCTGGATCAGTCACACAGCTTGCATGCAAACTGTTAAGGTAGTATGTAGTCCCTCAGCACTTCTGAGCCGTATCTCACAATAAGTTCTGCAGTAGTAGGCAGTCCCTCAGCACTTCTGACCTTCGTCTCATAATGGGGTCTGCAGTAGTAGGCAATCCCTCAGCACTTCTGAACCACATTTCATAATGAGGTCTGCAGTTGTATGCAGTCCCTCAGCACTTCTGAACCTCATCTCATAATGGGGTCTGCAGTAGTATGTAGTCCTTCAGCACTTCTGAACCTCATTTCATAATGAGGTCTGCAGTTGTATGCAGTCCCTCAGCACTTCTGAACCTCATCTCATAATGAGGTCTGCAGTAGTATGCAGTCCCTCAGCACTTCTGAACCTCATCTCATAATGGGGTCTGCAGTAGTATGTAGTCCTTCAGCACTTCTGAACCTCATTTCATAATGAGGTCTAGTAGTATGCAGTCCTACAGCACTTCTGAACCTCATCTCATAATGAGGTGTGCAGCAGTATGCAGTCCCTCATCACTCCTGATTATCATCTCATAATGAGGTCTGCAGTAGTATGAAGTCCCTCAGCACTCCTGAATATCATCTCATAATAAGGTCTGCAGAAGTATGCAGTCCTACAGCACTTCTGAGCCTCATCTCATAATGAGATCTGAATTGTTAATGCCACTCATTTTTACATGTGTGGTCTGTAATTCACACAGGTAACAGTGAAGCTACATGTTTGTAGCAAATAAGAGAGAATAGAGATTAATCTTTTAAGACACTTAGAGGATAGTTAGTTCAAGAATATAGGACATAGAATTAAGAATTAATCACTTATCTGTCCAATTCAAAGTCTGTAGTAGGTAAAGCTTTTGGTCATGCAGTAGGAGTCAGTCATATGATCTCTGCTCTTACACAGTACACTCATCTCTCCTGGTATCTTGAATTCTACAGTAGTGTAGGGTTTGCCAGTTCTGTTTAGCTGGCAGAATTTTGTGTGTTTGTAGTCATCTTGTAGTCTTGCAACAAATATTGCACTTATTGAGTCCACAATGTATGTGTATATCACAATTTGCAACACAGCCATTTTTAAGCCATAGCTGTCCTTAGAAGGTTCTGCCAGATTTTTCTAGAATTGGATCATTTGATTTTCATTTTTATGGGTTTTGCAACGGTAATTCTTTTTACAGAGCAAAGTCATCAGCCTTGCATCCAACTCCCAAACTTGAGCATGAATACTTATGGGTGTATATTGTTATGTATATTACTCTTTAATAGGCCATGGGGAAACAGTAGGAGGACCCTCATTCAGTCTCCCAGTGGCCATTACAGACTCTGTA